GCTCCTGTTGGCTAGACATGGTTGTAGGACCATGCTTCGCGATGAGGCCGCGAAAGATATCTTTTTTTCCGCGATGAATGGCCATTCCAGGATGAAAGAATATTGATCAACCACCATATGGCAATTGAGATCAGGAAGATGCTCAAGAAAGAAGCATCAAAGTGCCTTGGTTCCCCAAAACCATGTTGTGTAGCATGTTTGTTGCATGTGTTGATTGCAGATTGAAAGGTGGCTTTGAAGGATTGGCTTGCTCCAGTCGTTCTGGGATTCGCCTACTGATTCCTTTGATTCGCCCTTTTTTTCTTGGGTTGCTCCCCCAATTAGCCTGATGCCCTCGGGCGTAGTGTCTAGATCATGATTAGGATCTTGAAGATTTCAAGCAACTCTACCAGGACCCTCCTGTCGGGGTGTCCAATGGACAACCCTACATATATAAGTAGGCTTCCAGACAGGGCACCCCGACAGGAGGGTCCTGGTCGGTTTCTTCAATATCTTTCAGAAGTACGGGATTCAGGACACATCCCAGCACTCTGTCTCATCCCAACACACTTTGTGCAGTGATACGATCACGCAAACTCGTTCCAGCATGTCGCACTTCTGAGGTGCTATTGGCTTTGGATTTCTTGCATCTCGAGTTCTCTTGCCCAATACGATCACTCAGCCATCCTGATTTCTGCTTGCTGACCTTCGATTTCTTACGGCCGGGACCTTCGCTCTTCGCACGCTGCTTTGGATGGACTGGCTCAGCTTCACCGGCATGTGGGAAGCTTCAACTGGAGCTGAGTCTGTTGGTCTTAGACCTTGTGCATATCAGCTTCCCCATGTTCTTGAGGTCACTCGCCAAATCAGGATCATCCCTGTCAGCCTTGGACTTCTTGCAAATCGACTTCTCCTCTTTGACCAGGTCATCTACATACTGTGACTCCTCGTCATCACTACTGAGCACGATGTGCATGGACACCTTGCTATTCGTCCTGGATTTGGTGTCCTTGGGGTTCCCCTTGTTGGTGCGATCATCCACTCAACCGAGCTTTGCTTCGTCCACTTGTTCACAGCTGCGACTGGGCTTGACGTTTTTGGCCTTGGACGCCGCAGATCCGGGCCTCCCGACGTTGCTTCGAAGTTCAGCTCGGCTGGACTTGGTCTTGTTAGTGTTGGACCTCTTACACACGGACTTCCTCTTGTTCTTGAGAGGCCTTGCACACTATGGCCTCACTCTCTTCTTGTTCAATGATCTTTATTTCAAGACCGGATGGGCAGAAGAGACCTTGCCGGTGCTGGGGCGCTCACGCTTCGGTTTCACGTCGTTGGTCCTGGACTTCGCCATCTCCGAGCTGTCGCTGTTGACACGATCCTCCGTGCAATTGGGCTTCTTGATGTTCGTGTTGGATTTCTTAAGACTTGAACTCTTGATTTTGCCGAGGAGCCACACGCGTCTGGGATTTCACATGTCTCTCTTTTCGAGAAACACTCTAGGTTTCACCATCTTCCTCTTGGACTTTGCGAATCTAGGATTCTTCTTGCTGCTACAAAGCATGGCAAGGTCCGAGTTGCCGGCACCCGTCTTGGATTTTTTGCATCTGGAACCATCCTTCTCCTTGCGGTCCTTCTCATACTTTGACTCCTCCATCCCGACCCTTGACCTTGTGAAGACGGGCTTCTTGGCGTTTCTCAAGAGCTCAACCCATCTGGACTCCGTCCTATCCATTTGCGGCCTCACTCGTTTCGGCTCGGTCGCTTTCGTCTTGGACCCCGTGAACTTGGACTTCTCGGCCTTCGCACGCAGCTGTGCGCGCTTGGCTCCCACCTCGTCGGCCTCCGACTTCCTTCACCTCGGCTCCTTCACGTCCATCCGCTCCATGGGGCACTTTGGTTTATTGTCCTCGGTGATGTCCTGCGCACGCTTAGAGCTGATGGTCTCACTCTTGGAATGTACACATTTGGAGTCTCTGCTGTTGGCACGAGGCATGGTATGGATAGAAAGTGTGATGTCGGTCTTGAAATCCATGCACATGGGATTCTTGCCGTTCTTACATTCCTTGGCTTGCTGTGATTCTGCCATGTTTGCATGGGGCTCAACCTGCTTTGATGTCTCCCCCTTGGTCTTGGACTGTAGCATGTTAGGCTCCTTGATATTTCTCCGGAGCTTCAGCCGCACTGGTTTCGCCTTCTTGATCTTCTCCACTGTTCAACTCGGCTTGGCACTTTCCGTCCTGGACCTCACCTCGTTAAGCTCCGCACCCTTGCCACGGTCGCTCGCCCAACCGGACTCCGCGATGTCGATTTTGGAATCCAGCTCGTTGGGCTCGTCGCCGCTCCTGAAGAGCTACATGCATTTGGGATCAAGTTCCTTCGCCTGGGGCTTGTTGCGCTTGGGCTTCATCTTCAGCTTGTCCATCGTGGATGTCGCCCACTTAGAGTTCTCGCTGTTCGTGAGAAGCGCTGTTTGCTTTGACTTGGCCTTGCTCGTCTTGGACTTTGGTCATTTGGGCTTCTTGATGCTCTTGAGGCAGTTTGCATGTCTCGAACTAGTCCTGTTAGCCTTTGGTCTGGTGTGACTGGGCTTTGGCGTGTCAGCCTTGGATTTCACCGCTTTAGGCTTCTCCCTCTTCGCTCGATCGCTCGCGCAACTGGACTTCGGCATGTCAGCCTTGGAGTTCGGTCGCTCTGGCAGCTTGTTGCTGGCGAGATCCCATTTCCACTTAGGCTTCGCTGCCTTAGTGTTCGGCCTCGGACGCATGGGCTTCAACATCTTGGCGTTGGATTTCGTGGCTCCTGAACCCTCGTTGTTGGTGCAAAGTATGGCCCAGCCGGGATCTCCATTGTTGGTCTTGGACTTTTTCAAACTTGGTCTATCTCTGTTGCTTCGAGCCCGCTTCCACATTGGCTTGGCCATGTTCGTGACCGGCTTAAGCTGCGTGGGCTTCGTCTTCTCCCTCTTGGTGATTGAAAGCACCATGCTCGGTCCAGCACTCTCGCCACGCAGCGCCGCATGCCTGGAGCTCTGTACGTCGATTTTGGATTATGGCTTCATGGGTTCACCCTCATTGCTTCGCAGCCTTTTCTGCGGCGAGTCCTTTCCGTCGGTCCTGGACCTAGCACATCTGGACTTCTTGCTTTTCGTGCAATCGCCTGCCTGGTTTGGTTCCATGCTGTTGGCATCAGATCCTTTACATTCGGGCTTTCTCATGTTCATGCACAGCTTCGTCTGGCCAGACTTCAGCGTATCGCCCATTGGTTTGCAATGCATGGGCTCGGTGTTCGCATTGTCAGTGGTCGAATGTCTTCAACTGGGCCTTGTGACGTCCTTGCGCTCCTGCGGTCAACTGGAGCTTGCAACGTTGGTCTTGGACTTCTTGCATTTGGGTCCTTCGATGTTGCCCCGATCCTTCTGTCAAATCGGCTTCACCTCCTTAGCCATGCAGCTGTGTAGAACGGAACTCGTGGTGCTGGTGCTCGACTTCAGCTCCATGGGCTCTGTTTTGCCTGCAAGGTCCTTTGTTTGCTCAGGTTTAGCCATTCTGATCCCTGATCTCACTCATTTCGATCTACTGATGTTGGTACATGCCGTGACGCGTTCGAACTCGGCGTTGTCCACTTGCGGCGTGCAGAGCCTCGGCTCGTTATTCTTCCTGTCGGTGGTGGATTGTGCATATCCCGGTTTGTCCTTCTCATTGCAAAGTTCCGCACGTTTAGACCCCGTCTTGTTGGTCTTAGACTCCTTGCATTCAGGTTTCTTCTCTTTTCCCAGATCCATTTCCCGCTTTGGTCTATCGGTCTTGGCCTTTGACTTCCTGAAGCCCGATTTTCCTCCACTTTTGCGCAGTTCCTCGCAAATGGACTTGTTGGTCTTCCTGCTTGGTTTGTCCTGCTGTGGCTTTGTATCCTCCTCGTCGGCTGTTGAGCATGCGCATCTTGAGCTTTTATCACCTTCAAGAAGCCTCGCACGCTTTGGATCTATGCTTTTGGTGCTGGATCTCTTGCATATGGACTCCCCATTGTTCTTCCAAAGCCACACTTGTCAGGGGCCTTCCTTGCCACCCTGGGGCTTGACATGCTTGGGCTTGGTGTCCCCGCTCTCGGTGATCGAATGCACCTCCTTGGGCTTAGTCTTGTCAATCAGAAGCATGGTGCGCAGTGACTTGGCCGCATTGGTCTCAGACTCCTTGCACTTGGGATTGGCCTCGTTGCTTCGTAGCCATGCATGGATTGATTTGATGACTTTGGTGTTTGGGAAGTCTCAATTCGAGCTGAACATGTTGGTCTTGGATCTTCTTCATTTGGGTTTGCCACCCCCTTTGCGCTCCCTGGGCCATTTCGGTCCTTCAACGTTGGTCTTGGACCTTTTGCATCTGGGACTCACCGTCTTCCTACACGAGTTTACTCAAGCAGACCTTCCACTTTCACTGCCAGGCTTGGCTCGAGCAGGCTTTGTCTTCTTCCTACTGGTGATCAGCATGACGAAATTGGAGTCGTCCCTCTTCTTACGCAGTCGCATTCGGATGGGCTTCGTCTCGTTGGTCTTTGATCTTCTGCACCTGGGCCTGCTCCTGTTGATGCGTTCTCCTGGCAGAACGGACTTGATCATGCTTTTGTGGGGTTTATCGCGGCTAGGCTTCGTCTTCAGCCTCTCGGTCGTTGACACGGTGAACCTGGACTCACTGCTTTTGCCGCGAAGCTTGGCACAGCTGGAATTCACTTGCTTGGTGCTGAAATCCGTTCACCTTGGCTTGGCGTCGTTGCCACGGAGCCCTAATCGTTTGGAGAGCGTCACGCTGGTGTTTGGTCTTGGTCGGTTTGATCCGCTTTCACCAACATTGGATCATGTGACTTCAGAGCCTTTCTCATCCGTGAGAGCAGTGGTCCAGCTGGGCCTGGCAGCGTTGGTGTCGGATTTCCTGCACTTGGCCTTGCCCCTTTTGTCGCGTAGCTTTGGCCATGGGGACTCCATGCCTTTGGCCTTTGGTTTAACACGTCTCGAGCTTCTATCCTCACTGTCAGTGATTGAGACAGGAGCTCTGGAGCCCTTCTTGTCGGCACAAAGCTTTGCACAACTCGAATTGCAAGTCTCTGTGTTTAACTTCGTCAAGTTGGGCTCGTCCTCCTTTCCGCGCTCCTTTGCTCAAGCAGGTCTCGTGCCCTTCGTCTCCAGTTCAGTCCGTTCCGATTCCAGCCTTTTGATCTTGGACGCCAGCAAGCCCGAGCCGTCCTCATCGGCGAGAAGCATGGCACGGCCGGCGTTGGGATTATCGGCCTTTGACTTTTTACACCTCGGATCTTCATCATCATTTCAAAGTCTTGCTTGATTGGACTTCATGGCGTTGGTCTTTGGACTGTCTCGTCTAGGCTTCGTGTTCTTCCTATCTTTGGTGGACGCTGCGCACTTGGACTTCTTGATGTTTTTGAGATCTCGTGCTCATCCTGACCTTGCAATGCTGGTCTCAGACTTCTTGAGGCTGGGCTTTTCGCTGTCCTCACGGAGTATGGCACACTCTGAGTTCTTGGCTTCCACGATTGGCATGACGCGAACAGGCTTCATCTTCCTTCTGTCGGTGATTGAGATGACGACTCTGGAGCTCTTGTCATTGGCAAAGGGCACTGCAAGGATTGGTTTGGCACTCTTGGCATTGGATCCTTTACATTTGGAGTTCTTCATATCCCTCCAAGGCTTTGGACGCTCTGAGTCGCCGGCATTGGCCTTTGATTTCCTTCACATGGACTTCCTGCCTTCTCTCAAGAGCTCTGGTTGTATGGAACTGGCACCGTCGACTCTGGGTTTGACGCGTGCAGGCTTCATCTCCTTGCTGTCCGCCATCAGTAGCGTCTACCTCGGCTTCGCGATGTTTCTACACAGTTCATCTCACCTTGAACCTGCGCTATCCGCCTTGGACCTTTCACACCCAGAGCTTTCTTTGCCTCTCCACTCCTTTGCACACTGTGGTTCGAGCTTTCTGGTCTCTGGCCTCAGTCGTTTCGGTTTCGCACCTTCCATCGTGGACACCGCCCTGCTGGGCTTCTCCTCATCCGTGAGGTCCTCACTCTGCTCGGAGCTCTTCCCGTTGGCCTCGGACGCTGGTCGATTGGACTTGTCGCTGTTGCTCCACGGTCTCGGACGGTTGGACTTCCTGCTTTTGGCCTTTGGGCTGGCATGGCTGGGCTGCTTGGCAGAAGGGACGGGAAGTGGGAGGTTTTCCTCTGTGTCGGTTGAAAGCGGTGCCACCAAGCTGCCTGTGAGCAGTTGGATCATGAATGCCATTTGATGTAGTGGGAAGTGGTTCTTCTTGATCCGGGCGTTCGTTGGGTCAATCCATGGATCGTTGTAGGAGGTGTGCGTGATGTTTGGGGAGGAACACCACGGGAGTGTCCATGAAAAAACATATTACCAGGACCCTCCTGTCGGGGTGCCCTGTCCGGAAGCCTATAGGTAGTGTGGGGTAGTCCATTGGACACCCCCACAGGAGGGTCCTGGTATTCTACGGGTTTGAAAGGAGAGAGGAACGTAACGGCTGGCTACTTTCTCCTTACCGCTTGGGTCGTGTGCATGCCTTTGTCTACCATGTACTCCTGGCAACATCCTACAAGGTCAGCCTTCTGGATCAGTCTTGGAGCTGCTTTCCCGCTATTTTCAGGTTTCATGGCGCTGGCCTTGGATGCCTCCAAGCTGGGCTTGCTCTTGTCCTTGAGGAGCTTTGCTCGACTAGGCTTGGTGCTGTTGGCCACCCGGCGCCAAGGGCGCGGAGAGCGAGCGCCGGGCGGAAGGCCACGGAAGGCCTGGAAGTGCTGCTCAACAGAGCGAGCGAAGTCAGTGGGCGAAGTGAGCGTTTTTTCAGCGGGAGGTGGGAGGGTTTGGAACTATGAGGTGGTGGGTGGTTTGGCTATAGTGCTTTGCCTGGCTTGGGGATTGGGGGAAAGTGGTTCCCAATCCGATGGACGGTTCTCCCAAAGCGAAGCGAGATGATGCGAACCACTCAGGCCACACCAGATGTTCGGGGTGCTTACTGTGCTTCGGGGTTCTGTGCTTCGGATCCCCGCTTTCCACCGGAGCCGGGGTCCTTTCGCAACTCCCCCCAAGGCGCTGGGTCCACCCGCGCTGACACGCGAAGTGAGCACGGTTCGAGGTCCGGAGGAAAGGCCAGACACCGACGGAGACACGAATCGTAGACCCTGTTTCACGGTCTATCTACCATGCATGCAGATGACCCCCAGACTGGAAGAGAACGAACGAAACCCCTTCGGGTGTCGACTGCGGTGTCGACCTCGTCCAGTTCTGGACGAAGCAAGCCAGGTTCCAATAGTGGCCCCGTCTGGTCCTTTTCCAATCCAAGGCCCTGGATTCTCTTCATCTGGACTTCACCCTATTCCTGCACCAGCTCGCCCAGCCCGACAGCGCTTTGCCACTCTTCAAGGCCCTAAGACGCTGAAAGGAGGTCATTCTGATTGAGAGAAAGTGCAGGTCCTGGTCGCGGTGGTGGCGGCCAGGACCTGGACCATTCACTTTCGTGACCTTCACTTAGAGATCTTGGATGGATTTGGGGTCGCGACAAACGAATGTAGGCTCTTGATGAATGATTAAAGCTCATGTAGTTCATCCTAGTTACTGGGATTGAAAAAAAACACTTCATCTCGGGGCGTGTATGAATCCGGAGTCTAAGACTCAAGTTGGAGGTCACAAACGGTCACCAACGGTCCTGGGGATGGAAACGGTCGTTGGCCCCCAAGCTGCTTCAGCCCGAGTAGTCCCAATGGACACCAAGAAGGTTTGGGATGACTGAACTTCTTGCAGAAACCTAATAGAAAAAGGAACCTAATAGCAACGGCCTCCAACCTAATAGTGATAGCCTCCAACCTACTAGCGATGGCCTCCAACCTAATAGCAAAAGGAACTTCTTGCGAAAACTCTTCCAACACGCGGACTTCTACTCTGAAACCAGAGTCTCACAATGTGTACACCATCTGCATATGATGCCTACCAGCACCCTCCAACAGGCTCTTAGTTGAGGGTTGTTGGACCCTGACAGGTCTCAATTGGTGACCTGTCGGAGGGTCCTGGTATAGAACCCATTTGGCTGTGGGTCAAAACCAGAGGACCCTAGTTGACGATTGTTAACTAGTCGCGATGTCAACACGAGCCAGGTCGAAACATGCTGACTTCCTTGCCCACTCTGGAGCAAGGAAAAGAGAGAACAAAGAATGACAATCAGAAGAGATTGTCCAGAGCAAGGCCCCATCTATTCAGGATGTCCTTGCAACCCAAATTGAAAAGAGATGCAAGTTTCAACAGCACCTGAGGAAAAGATCAAACCCAGGGATCTTGCCAGCAGGAAAATGGTTGTCCGTTCGATTTGAGGCCCTTATCCGTGATTGCTGGGATCGCCTGTTGATCAATGGAATGTCGAAAACAATTCAACAGGGTGCGTAACCTGGAGGCAAGCTGATCAAGTTTTGACAGCCATTTGACCTCTGTGTTGATAGGAAAAGACCATGTTTGGGCTCCAAGGCAGGAGTCACTCGGGTTTCTAGGTAGATATTTAATGATTTATACATTGCATCATATTGCATGTGCATGTGTATTATACGAAAAATATACCTGCTACAACTGTAGGGTTCTGAAAATAGACCTGTTCCAGAAAGAGCTCTACTTAGTCCATACCTCACGTGCTCTCCGGTCGTTTTCAGCTGTCCGCCTCGGACACCGGGACACGACACGACCGTCGACGGTCTGAGTTGGACGCGAGAGTAGCGTCTGGGAAACCAGCAGTAGCAGTTTGTTAATCCATAGATATCCATAGCAACATGAAAAACCATATATGAGTACCCCGGTGTCCCGTTTCTCCAGCGATTTGCGTTTCTCCTTTGGAAACCTGGCCAAAAAGGCAATGCCAACCTCCACTAGACTCGAAAAAAGCTCTCTAGACTCGGATGCCGCTTGGTGTGCCAGATTGCACGCATGGACTCCATCTCGCTGGCTTTAGACTTCCTCCACTTGGACTTCTCGTGGCCGCCCCAGAGGGGAAGTGGTCACGTGCCGGGTCGATGGTTGTTCCGCACTTGCGTGACGACTGTGGGGGGGAAAAAGACTAAAGGATTTACAAACCCTACACCTCCAAGTACCTTCTCAGAAGGTACTTGGACCCTCCAAACCCACATAACAGTGTCTCCAATCACCTTCTCAGAGGGTATGTAGATCCCTAGGGCAAAGGTTCGCCCCTTTCCTGAACAAACGAAGCTGCCAGAGCCGTTGTTGCACTTGGCGGAGAAATGCCCTATCGAGTTTCTGGTGGATGGCCTCCAACCTACTAGCGGTGGCCTCCACCCTACTAGCGATGGCCTCCAAGCTCACAGCGATGGAAATTCCCTATCGAGTTTCTGGAGTGATAGTGTTTGGAAGAATTCAATGGTCCGCATGAACTCGGGGTCGTGTCACTTCACGGCGTTCAACAGACACACTGTCCAGGGCTCACCATCCCTTCAAATGAGGCAAAAAGACGCCGGGCTCATTCATGAAATTCAACGGATGGTTGTAGTAGGAGTAGGAGTAGGAGTGGCTGTTCAGGCCAATTGTGTGTAAATGTAATGCTACTGTTCAATTGCTCCATCCTCGTGTCGAACGGGTGCTCTCTGATCTCTAGAACGGGTGCTCAAACGGCGAGACGCCAAACGGGCCATGCTTGGACCCAAGATCTCCTGATCAGCACAAGATCTGTACAGAAAGGATCAGGAAGGAAAGGTGGTGTTCTTACTGGTGCGACTCGGAAGGATTGAGGGAATGGGAGCACCGGGCAGGCGCCATTCCCTTTCTTCGGCAAAACAGTCTTTGGAGTCTTCCAAAGTCGCTCGGAAAAAGGCTTCTCCAGCCTTTTGTTTGATTCCGATGACTTGGTTTAGGTCGTCAAATCCGTCAAAGCAAAGGATTAGGAAAACAGGGGTCGGCCACGAAGCCATTCAAAAAGGAAGATGTTGGAAAGCCAGGGAGGTGCCTTTGGAGGTTGAGCTAAAAATATCCACTCCAGGACCCTCCTCCATGGAGTGAACTGAGAGGACCTCCGAACCTAACTCCGTGCACAGGACGCCTTTGCACAGCCCTGGGTACTTCGGTTCAGCTTCGTCGGCGCCGGAGCGCTGAAGCGCGAGCGTTTCACGCGGCGCGCGCGACACGCGGCGCGCGGATGGTCGTTTTCTGCTTGGATCCCTTGGATGGTCGCTTTTGGGCCGAGGAAAGCCATGGTCAAACCGAATTGGATTGAGAAATTCAAGATAAACACGTCATTGGTACAGTCACAAAGGGGGTGCTTAATGGAGGTTAGGGCTGCCCATTATCCACTCACTTAGGGACAACACCACCCCTTTGTGACTCATGGTACAGTTACACTATTTGGACCGCTTGTATTGAGATATGGTCGAAATCTTCAGGAACTCGACCTGGTCGAGTGGTTTTCAAAACGACGTTCCATGACCCCGGCCCTATACCCAGGATTCTTCCGCCGCAAAAAGACCAAAAGCCGAGCCACTAAGTGTTTGTCTTTTGCCAGCTGGCCAGAAAATCCAGACCAACATGACCCGGGCATGATGTTACCCATCGCGCGTAGCGCATCGCGCTGGTAGCATCACTCCGCGGAGGTAGCATCGCGCTACGCATCACTCCAATGATCAACATCTCTGCCGTTCCAAGACCACTTTTCATTGGACCCAGACGCGACCCTGGACCCTGCGAAGTAGTAGACCGGGGCCGTACGGGCCCGGACCCGAACCAATCCCTATGGTTTGCTTCGGGACGTCGTCACGGAGCGTCGGTTCACGGAGCTGTTCGTTGGAGCAGCCCGAAACCGGTGCGTCCGGGACGCGCCCGTTTCGAAGTCGTTCGTCATCCGGACCGAGTCCGTCACAGTCCGTCCGAGCCGTGACTGCGTCCGAACACCGACGAGACGGCGGCCCGTGTTGGATGGATGCGAAAACTGAAAAGAAGCACATCTACTACCTAGTAGCTTCTTGCTACTACTAGTAAGGCACCTGTTACTACTAGCGTGGCACCTGTTACTACTAGCACATCAAACAACCACCAGCACCCGAACTCGGCCAGGCTGTTAGTTGAGGGTTGTTGGACCCTAACAGCACATCAAACAACCATGGAAGATCCCAAATTGGCCGCGGCCGGCCCTTTTGGAAAGGGGTGTCCTCTGTGACCTGTGTTCAATGGTCCCATGTCCCACCTGTCCGACCGACTGGGACTGTCGAAGACTGGGACCGCCTTGGTCGTTGAATTCCCATCGCCCAATTCTGGATTTCCCTCTTTGAATGGGACCTTCAAAGGGGATGTCCTGTCTGCAGATCCCTAGGTAGTGGGCTGGGGCACCAGCCTGGTGACCCCGACATGAAGGTGCTGGTGGGTATCTTGAGACATGTTAGAAGACCCCTGCATCACACTATTCTTCATGATTTTGCTCATGCTTGGACAGGCTGGGGACCACCAAAGGACAAAAAACACCCAGCCTTTCTGCTCGTCCGCGGCTGGCGCATCTCGACTCGAGCTCTTCGTGTTTGGAGCAAAGATCCAAAAGGTTGGAAGAAAGGATCAACGAAAGACGCTTCGTTCACGGAGTTTCCCCCCCCCACCTTGGCGTTTCCTGGGTGTTTGGGAATGAAACGTGTTTGGTCTTTCATGAAGCGTGACTGTCCACCTGAAAGGTGTACACTCCGCCGGTGAACTAAACAGCCATTTGAAGGTCTTGTCGGAGTGTAGCTCGGTTTTGTTGTGTTATTTTTCACAGATCTTCTCCAGGATCCAATGGTGTAGGCTGGGCCATGGATGTGGTTCTGGCACCCGATTTCTGTTGAATGTGCATTGCAGCATGTGTATTCAAGAATCTGCAAAATATATTTCAAGCCATGTTCCTACCCACCCAAGTGCGTCCACTGTTCTTCCTGCTCCTCTTTGCCGAACCGGTTGATGGCCAGCGGCTAGCTGATGGCTAGATGTAGAACAAAGACTCCAATTCAACACAACTGGCCGCACTTATTCAATCTTCACCTCTCACACTCTCGCGCATATCCTCCATCTCCTTCACGCTTCGAGACCGCGCTTGTTGCCGCGGCAGGACTCTTTGCATTTAGATTTGACCACCTTCACGCGGAGCTTCACCCACTTGGGCGTTGCTGCACTGCTCTTTGGCATCGCTCGCGCAGGCGGCCGCGAAGACGAGACCGGCGCGACCAGACGGGTTCACCGGTCCGACGAGTGCCGAGGACCGTCTTTTGCGGTAGGTCGGGGTTTCGAACAGCCACTCATTGGGATGGGACGAGCCACACCAACGTTCGTGACTCCTGATAATTGTGTCTTGTTAATATAGGTAAGCGATGGTCTCATTTGAACGATTTGAAGAACCTCATCAATCTCTTAGATCCTTGACCTGAGTTCGCCGATCACTGAATTCCACCTGCAATGGCAAGCGTTGATTTAGACCAACATCCACGTCTTCCGCACCTGTCTGCGTCGACGTCTCCCGTTCGACCGGTGCATCGATGTCTGCGCCAGGCTTGGTCTTCTTGCTCTCAGCCGGTGTCTCAGAGCGAAGGACTCCGAGTCTGACAGAGTGCAACGAGTCGGGTGAAGATCTCGTGGCCACGAATGGGAGACGAAACACGGCAGAACGAAGAGCTCGTCGAGGTCTTCGTCTCGAGTCTAACGCTTCGACGCAAGCCAATTCCTTCCCCACCAGGTCGCTCGCCTCGTTTGCGTGTGTGTTTTCTGAGCCCAAGGTCGTCGACCACACCACCTTGGGCTCTTCCTTGCCGTCACAAAGCCGCGCTTGCTTCGGTTCCGCAGTGCCTCGGCGGAGAACGGACGGAGAACGCGCGGGGACTCGGTCCGGGCTTTGGAGCCGGTGGTGCTGGGAGTGATCTATTGCTACCTGGAACCCCAGTCCCAACCAGAAAGAAATGGATGGAACTCCCCAGTCCCAACCATTTCCTATGTAAAGGATTTCAACTTGCCATGTTGGAACAACCATTTGTTTCTAGTTGTTTGGGGTTCCAGGTAGGGATCCAGTCGTACCTTCTCAGAAGGTACGACTGGACCCTCCAAACCTACATAACAGTGCCTCCAATCACCGTACCTGAGAAGGTACGACTGGATCCCTAGGGTATACCAGGACCCCGCAGGTCGGGTGGCTGTTTGAACAACCCGACCTGCAGGTGGCAGTTTCTGCACCAAAACTGGTCAGGTGTCACACTTGTGAAGTCGGGTTTTTAGTCGGTATGGTTTTGTCTTACCCAGACGCGACCCTGGACCCTGCGTTCAGTAGGGGCCGTACCCGAATCCTTTGGAGGGGCCCGGACCCGAACCAATCCCTATGGTTTTGAGGGACCAGTCGGGCTGTTTGGAGCGTCTGGGTAGTTGATTTTGGAAGAGGTCGCTGCGTTGAGAGTTTGGGGGATTGGTCGAGGAGCCCGCCCTTCCATTCCATTGGATTGGGTGACCTGTCACGGGTGTTAGCCCTTCGGTTTGCCCTTCGGTTCGCCCTTCGCTGACCGCTTTGCCGTTCACACGCGGAACGTCACCGGTGCAAAAACGTGCACGTTTGAGCAACGAAGGCCGAAGGGCACGCACCACGAAAGGTTAAAAGAGGTTTCTGGGTGTTTTTCTGTTTGTGCCCGCTCCCCCCCCGGGCCCCTACTTAATTCAGTAGAGACTGCCTACCTAATTGACTAAGAAACTGAGATAGCTACCAGCTACGTTCGTACGCGCCTCGTGTGATGGAGACCTTCGGACATCCACGGCCGTTCGCTTCACCTGCGAGAACCTCGGCCGCAACATGCTTCGCCTCAAGGCCATTAGACCTAGTACTAGCCATCAAGACCTAACCCTGGGAGTCAAAGACTATAAAAAGAATAGTCTTTAGGTGACACGAGTCAAGGAATGTCCTGAACACTTCAGTCAGTCAAAATATAGTCGAACTGGACTTCTAGGGCCTAATAGCATCCTTGACTACGTAGTAAGGCCAGGGTCGCCCCGGTTCGGTTGTCCGATCCTATTGGAGCTTTCTTCCTTGTTTGTTTCTAGCGATGGCCTCCAACCAGACGAACGCGGTTTTCGGCCCTTTGTGGGCCCTTTTTCTTGTTCGCCTCAAGGCCTTGGTCTTGGACTTCTTCCGTTTGGGCTTTTTGCTATCAATCCGACACGTCTCACGGATTGGCCTCACACTCTTGCAGCTGGGCCTGAGGGGAGGGAGGTGAGGGGCAGAAGCAGGGGGAGGGTTGACCGGCGTTGGATGCGTTTGATCCGGAGCCGAAAACCGGAGGAAGGTCCCAAGAAGCAGGAGTTTGAACTGATTTGGCTGTTCCCCTTGGCCGGACAAAAGCTTGCACCCCACATCACCAGAATCGACGGCAGAGTCCTGAATCTCGCGGATGTTGTCGGTCTTGCAACGAGTTCAAAGGGTCCAGGCGGTGGTTGTTGGTAGGTCCATGGGCGGAGCTTGGTAGCATGGTTTGCAGCCATGTGGCCATGTGCTTCTCATCAATGACGGCTGGCGAGCGATGAACAGGACGTGTAGGACGATGGAACTGAACGGAAGAGGTTGCCCCCACTCCTGGGAATGATCAAACTGGAGTGAAACCATTTGTTTCTGAAACCTCGATGCAGAACATGAGAAGAAACGGTGGTTTCGGACGTCGAAAGCCAGCTCGAGCGATGAACATCGAAGAATGGGTCGTTCTTCTCTTCCTCCCCCAAGCGGAATGAGAGACAGTGGAGTGAGAAAGCACCATGTTTGGAAAAAACACCATGTTTGGTATTCTGATTTTCATGGTCATCCCTGATTTTTAAGGGCCATGCCATTCACTTTGGCCCATGATGATTGGAAGGGTGTGTGTGTGTGCCTTCGAAGGTCCACTTCCCCCCCCCCCCATAGAACAAGACCCTGATACTATCGAATGGCGCCATACTTTGTTGGCCACTAAGGTCGATGAGTAAAGCCTTCATGGAGTCCTTCTTGTTGATCTCAGACTCTTCCTCCTTGGGCTTCTTCTCATTACCCCAATCCTTCGCTTGACTAGACAGCACTTTGTTGGCCTTGGACTTCTTCCATTTGGGCTTTGCTTTGTCTTCACGGCAGCATGGCCAACTAAGCTCGATCCTTTCAGCCTTCGGTTTAGCCTGATTCAGCTTCTCACTGTCGGTGCTAGACATGGTGCATTCAGGCTTTGTTCTGTTGACACAGTCTGTGGGGTGCTTCGGACTGTTCACGTTGGTCTTCGACTTCTTGCACATGGAAAGCACCTTTCTTTTACACAGCTCCTTAAGACCGGGATCGATGTCTTTGATGATGGGCTTGTCGTGAGTAGACTTGGTCTTCTTTCTACCTGTGACCGAAGGGACCAAACTGGGCTCTTCTCTTCTGTTGAAGTCCTTTGCAAGATGTGATTCTGTGGCATTGGTCTTGGACTCTCTCCATCCAGAACCTTTGATCTTCATGCAAAGTTATTGTTGTGTTGGATTCCTGTTGCTTGTAATTCGAAGATTCCACTCAGGCTCTAGCTTGCCGGTATCAGACTTTGCGCACTCTGAATTCTCCATGTTTTTGCAATCCATGGCTCACTTTGGACTTGCTATGTTGGCACTTGACCTTTTGAATTTGGGACTGTCCCTGTTAATGCAAGCCTTTTGCCGCATCGGTTTGCCCTTGTTGGCCTTTGGTAAGTTCAGTTTCGGGACAAGTAGCATCTCCGTCATGGGGAAGGTATTCTTCGGCTCTCTTTTGCCTGTCCGGAGCTCTGCTCGTTTGGGCCCATGTATGTTGGTCTTCGACTTCCTTCATACGGAGTCCTCGCCCTCGCTACAACAGTTCATCCGGAGCAGTAGCAGCTTGTCTGTTTGCGGTAAACTTTGCATGGGCTCCATGCTGCTCACCTCAGACACCGCAAAGCCGGACTTCTCCTCATTCGTGCATTCCTTCAGTCGTATGAACTCCACGCTGCTCGTTTTAGACTCTTTGCATTTGGGCTTCACACTCTTCCTTCGAAGCTTTATACAGCTGTGTTCGGCTGCGTCCATGGTTGGGAAGATCAAATTGGGCAGTCCATCATTAATCTTGGATTTTGTTTCATTGGGTTTCTTCGTGTTCCTGCGGAGCCATGCTCGATTGGAGCTGTCCTTGTTTGTCTTTGATTTCACTTATTCCAGCTTCTCCCTCCTGTCAAGAAGCATTTCTCGATTGGATTTGTCCTTGCTGGTGGTCGGCCTGTCACGAGCTGAGCTGAGCACGTTGATCTTGGATCTCAGCTCACCGGGCTTGGCGCTGTTGCTTCGAAGTCCTGCAAGGCTGAACTCATTTCCGTTGGCCTATGATCTGGCGAAATTCGACCTCTTGGTGCTTTTGCAAAGCTTGGCACAGCTTGAACTCTTGGTGTTCCCACCTGGCATCGCCCGAATGGGAAGCTTCTTGTTCGTCTTGGACTTTCTACATTTAGGTTTCTCGGCACTGACGAGGAGCTACAGTTGTCCTGGTTTGGCCATGTCGGCGATGCAGCTCGTGCATTTGGAACTCCTTTTGCCTCCACGAAGCTTTTCTCAACTTGGTCTGGTGATGTTGGTGCTGAGCATGGCGAGACCAGAATCAACTTCATCCATATGTGACCCTTCACAGCTTGGTTTCTTGCTGTTTGTGAGAAGCTTTGTTTGTCTTGGCTTCGTTTTGCTCGTCTTGGATCTCTTGCGCTTAGAGCTTTCCCCATTCTCCCGCTCTTTCGGTCAGCTCGAACTCACTTTGCCTTCGATCGGCCTGGCACACTGTGATCCTACGCTGTTGGCTTTAGATTCTGGGAACCTTGGCTTGAGTCCACCCTTGCGAAGTGTCGGGCACTCAGGAAGTGTGGCTTTGGCCTTGGACTTGGTACATCTGGGATTTCACACGTCCTTGCAGTCAACCATACAGGTGGGTAGTGGAGTCTTGGTCTTGGACTTCTTACATATAGGCTTCTCGTTTTTTCTTCAATCCTCGTTCCAGGTTGAATCGGTTGCATCGGCCTTGGATCTTGTTCATTTTGGCTTTTCATCTCCACCACATCAGCTTGCCTGCATCGGCTCTTCAGCATTTGCCATGGGATTCTCCCGCTTCGGAAGTCTCTTCACTTTGTCCGTGGTGGATACCTTGCTTGTGGGGCCCTTGCCATTGCTCCGTGGCTTCGGACACTTGGACTCCTTCTCGTCGGTCTTCAACGTGGCTCATGTAGGCCTCGTGCCATCCTTGCGATCGATGGCACGCTTCGGTCCATCCGTTTTGGCCTTGAACTTTGCTCACTTGGACTCCACCTTCTTGCCACGTTCCTTCAGCTGCTCAGGCTCGATCTTGCTGATGCCCGGGGTCTCCAGCATGGGTTTCACTTTCTTGACACTGGACTTCGTACATATGGGCTTGCTGCTATCAGTGAGGAGCCATGTATGCTTAGGACTCACGATGCCTGCCTTGGACTTGGCACATTTGGGCTCTTTTGCATTCTCGCATAGTGTGGCATGGTCAGGGTCCACCATGTTTTTGTTGGGCCTGTCCCGCTCAGGATCGGTTTTCACACTTCCAGTGATTGAGATGACGACTTTGGGCAGTGTTTCACCCCTGAGATCTCCGGCATGATTGGACTCCTTGGTCTTGGTGTTGTGTGCAACACATCTGGGCCTTTCCACCTTTTTGAGGTCCTTTGCACATCTGGACTCCTCGACCTCGGTCTTTGACACCGTGCACTTGGGCTCTTCCTCTTTCATCCGAAGCTTCATGAGGTCAGAGTCACCGGCACCGGCGATGAGAACGACCTCCTTGGGCTTGATCTCGTTGGCGTCGGACTGGGCCTGCTTGGAGTCCACCTTGCCGACTCGAGGCTCTTCCCGTTCTGGCTCGGTGATGTTGGTGCTGGATTGCCAACTGTTGGGCTTTTTCGTGTTGCTCCGAAGTCATTGTCACATGGAGTTGCTGCTTTTGCCGGTTGGCCTATCATGCTTGGGATTCTGCTTCACTCTCTTGGTCATTGAAGCCACACACTTGGACTTGCTGACATCTTTACAGTCTTGCGCTCACCTTGAAAGTACTTTTTTGGTCTTTGGATTCGATCGAGTGGCTTCCTTCTCGTTGGTGCAGTCCTTTGCTCGAACAGGGGATCAAAGAACCTCGGTCTTTGGTATGTCCTGTTTGGGCTTCATCTTCGCCTTGCCAGTGGCTGAAAAGGTGCATTTCGGCCCCTTCCTTTCGGTGCACAGCTTCCTGCGTCCCGAACCGGCGCTTCTGGTGTCCGACATGGGCAAGTTGGGATTGACAGTGCTTCTAAGGTCACTTGGACGAACTGATCTTGCTTTGTCACCTTCGAGCACGGCGACTTTGGGAACAAGCTTGTTGGTCTTAGACGCCATTCAGTTGGAATCGCTGCTCTCGGTGAGAAGTCCTGCGCAATTTGAGCTTCTGATGCTGGTTGTGGATGTCATACACCCTGATAGCTTCATGTTGCTACGAGGCTTCATGCAACTGGGAAGCCTTCTGTTGGCCGTGGGCATCTCACGAGCCGACTTCATTTTCTTGCTGCTGGTCACGGAAGCTGCGCATTTGGACTCTCTACTGCTGATTCGATCTGTGGCACGATTCGACCTCTTTGCCCTGGCCTTGGACTTCTTGCATTTGGGATTCTCCCCCCTGCTACAACATAGCGCTTGCGCGGGGTTCTTGGTGTTCGTGTTTGATTTCTTGCATCTCGAGTCTAGCTTTTTACCTCGAAATTGGGCTTGCTTGGGTTCAGGGGCCTCGATTTCTGGTCAATCCTGCATGTGTTTTTTGTTGTTCACTTCAGACAGCATCCAACCTGCTTCGCTTCTGTTGTCACAGTCATTCGCACAAGTGGGATCAGCAGTCTTCGTTTTCGGCTTTGCCACAGTCGAGTTATCCATGCTGCTGCAACAGTACGGTCGCCTTGGTCCCGGGTTGTCTTCCTTTGGCAACTTGCGATTCGACTTCTTATTCAGTTTGTCTGTAGTTGACACCATTAATCTGGGCCTCTTTCTGCCTGTGAGATGCCTAACCCGCTTGGGTTCCTCCTTGTTGGTCTACTGCGACAAGCATCTGGGTTTCGCACTGTTCTTACACAGCTTTGCACAGGCTGGCTCCTCAGTTCCTGTCATTGGACTTTCACGGCTCGGTTCCGTGTCCGCCCCGCCAGTCTTTGAAGGAACTCTCCTGGGCTTCTTCCCTCCAATCCGCAGTATCGGGCGCTTGGGCAGTGTGATGTTGGTGCTTCGGCCATGCACTCTTGGATCAGTTCTTCTATTGCACGGCTTCATGCGTTTGGACTCGATCCTGTCACTGGCAGGCATGTGCCGACCAGGGTCGTCCCTTTTCACCCTGGACCGTGCACAGTTCAGCTCCTCATCACTACTCAGGAGCTTTGCGCACTCAGCCTCACTGGTGTCCGTGGCCTTCTCTGCGTCCTTGGACAGCTCACCATCTCTGCGGAGCTTTACTCAACTGGGCTTTTCGCTCTTGATGCTCGGCATCAGTTGCTGTGGCAGCGTCTTCAGTTTGCCGGTGATTGCAAGCACCTTCCTTGGTTCCCCATCGTTGACACGGTCTTGTACACATTCGGCGCCATCTTCATTGGTCCTGGACCTTGCTCATCTGAGCTTCTCCGTGTTTCTAAGAAGCTGGTCGCGGACTGCATCGTCCTTGCTGCTGGTTGGCCTATCTTGCTTGGGCTTCGTCTTCAGCCTCAGCATCATTGAAGGCACCATCTTGGGCTTGTCTCCACCGATCCAAAGCTCAAAACGAATGAGTTTGGCGATCTTAGCCTTAGACACTGGAGATCTGGACTTGTTGCTGTTGGTACGCTCCTCCGCTCGAATGGACTCTTTGGTGTTCACTTTGAATTTCGGACGGTTTGGAAGCATCTCACCCTTGAGGCAACTTCTATGTGTGGAGTTCACTCTACTTCTGGTGGGATTGAGTCGCTTGGGTAGCTGTTTCGCTCTTTTGGTGACTGAAAGCACCCACTCCGGTTTCGTGCTTCTCCTCCGGAGCCTTTC